TTTTTTTTTTTTTTTTTTTTGCTAAGCTCTGTATAAAAAGTTGACACATGCATATATGTGTGTTCTTGCCATATATGGGGTTTACTGTCTCCAGCTCTCTATTGCTCTGCTCTCTCCATCCAAAAAACCTGACTCTCTTTTTGCCATTTTCAGTTTCAGGGATTGAAACAAGAAACAACTTCTGTTTATTGCATTTTCCTTTTTCTCTTTTTATCTCTTCTTCTGCTCTGTCTTTTTGACTCCTTCCAAGCTCAACAACAATGGCACCCAGAGGCAGACCTAGAAAGGTTCGATTTTTACACCCTTTTTTTTTCCTTTATAGTTGTACGGAGTATCTTCTTTCTTGTTTGTTTTCCTTCTACTGTTGTTGTTTTTTTTTTCATTATTATTATTTTGGGTTATCATTGGGCAGAGACTAAGCAGAATGGACGCAGCAGTTGATGCTATGACGCCTTTCGGGTTTGATGAATCGCTGGTTAGGAAAACTGTGAATAAGCTCCTCAAGGTTAGTCTGTTGGGTTTCCTATTGTTTAAGTTTTTGAGAAAAAGGAAACGGTGCTTTGAAACATGAAAATCGTTTCATATTCTCTGCCCATTTGGGGATTATTAATAAAGTGGGTTAGCTAAGATATTTTTTGGCTTAGGAATATGAAGGAGATGAAGGGTGGGAAGGGTGGGCGTTCATAGAGGATTGCGGCTACAAGGAGCTCATTGATGCTATTCTTCGCGATCAAGAAGCTGACGATGATGAAGAGCGGCAAACCCAAACACAAAAGGTAATATTCCATTCTCAGTTATGGAGGAAAATGATTATTTATTTTTTATAAAAAGTAGTTTTCATGGGAAATGTTTATCGTAGAGAATCATATATTTTATTGAGGTTTAATTGGATGTAGAAAGTACTTAACCAAAGTGGCATACGGTAATTGTACAAAGAGTAGACCTTGCATTGGGTATGAGAATAGTGTTTTGGTAATATTTTTAACTATTGACCACAATGTTAAGTGTTAGATTAAAATAATACTATATTGAAACAAGTGATAGTATAAAGTAAGAGTTGGGATATTACCACCAAAAGGTTGTGAATGGAGCCTAAGAATGGAGTTGTCTTTGGTAGGTATACTTTATCCCCAAGTGAGATTTCTCGGCATGAATGCTGATTAGAGGGAGAAGTTGAAGGTTATTGGTTCGAAGTTCTAATCCTTTTAAGTTTTGGGATATTACCACCAAAAGGTTGTGATGAATCGAGCCTAAGAATGGAGTTGTCTTTGGTAGGAATACTTTATCCCCAAGTGAGATTTCTTGGCATGAATGCTGATTAGAGGGGCCCCAAGAGCCGGAAGTTGAAGGTTATTTGTTTGTGTTCTAAGTTATTGGGTTCTAAATTAATAATTAGTACATATTCTATAAATTTATAAGACAATTACAAGGTTTAGACTTTGGACTAAAACTCCCCCCTGCTTTTGTACTTAGATGTTTCATTTTCTCATTCTAGTGGAATTACTTTTCTCGGAGAAAACCATTTCCCTTCTTCAGGTTAATCATACGCTAGAAAATGATTTCATTAAGAAAAGTATTTTCAGTCATGCAGAACATACTTGCATTTTTTTTTCTCCTATTTGCTTTTTTGGGTGTAGAGTGTGTTTCTTGTATATTTGAATTTCTTTTTCTTGGGGTTGGCTTAGATAAGGGAAGGAGCTTGAGTTCCCCCTCGATTCTTAACTATCTCTAATCATGAGCCACATATACACCCTTCAGCCATAATATATTGATCAGGTTTAGGTGATTTACAGTGGAACATTAGGCTTCAAAATCTTAGTGAATGAAATGCACAAAATTATTGGATGTTGAATTGTCAAGGATTACTTGCATATACGTATTTGTAAATGCAGGATGGCTAGTGAATTTTATAGCTCAAGCTCTGTTTTATCTCTGGCCATTGCTTATTTAAAATTGGCACTAACTAACATCCTTATGTCTAAGGTAGCCCAAAATTTTGAGTTTTGCTATGAATTTTACGTGGATTAAGAAGCATTCATACTGTTTGATCATGAAAGGGGTTAAATCTGTCTATTCAGTTTTACCTGGATCCATACATTCAGCATAGTAACCTGCTCAAATGCATTAAAGTGTTTCTTCCCAAAGGTGGAAAAGAATCCTTGTTGTTTATTGCAGGAAAAGAAGGCTGTTTACTTGTGTCATCCAAGTCTGCTGATGAATAATTGCCTTTATGTCAAGAGGAGTCTACTGCCCGTTTTTTCCAATTGCTGTTTTTTGACTGCTTCTGCCTTTCATATATTATCCCCTGTGTTTACAATAAACCCAGTAAAATCCCACGAGTGGGGGTTTACAATAGTTTGTAATAGTCCATCAAATGGTGTCCTTTGCTGTTGGCATAAATGGTTCCTAAAAACTGTTAAAAGTTACGTAAAGCGTCTCATTAAAATCAATATAAGTGGATCCTATTGCTAACTTAGGTTGCTCTAATCGATCATTTGTGTATACAGTATGAGCATCTGAGAACATTCATTTTAAATTTCCTTGGAACTTGATACTGGAGTATTTGTCCGCGAATGATTTTCTATGGCACAAATAAGTGAAACTTAGAAACTACTTTTAGCAGTAGTAAATTTGCATATCCTGCAGAACTACACCAATAATGAGTTTGTATCAGTGACTAAAGTGTATCTCATCAGTGCTGGACTGAAAATTATGTTTTTCCAAAAGCTTGTAGTTTCCTCTTCTGCAATGATTTCAGAGGCTGATTGGCACATCCCGAAGGATTTCCCATTCTCTGCAATATATCTTGAGTTAAACATAACATGCATTTCTAGTTACAGTCCAGCCAAAACAAGCTACTTTAGGAAGTGCTTGTGATTTCCACAACATCTTCACGGCCAAGTCAAATCCCAGTGGCCTACTTGTCCAGCCTACTAGCATCAAGGGTCAAAGGTTCCAACCAATGTAAAAGTTGACCAATCTCATCAACTTCCCAATCATTAAAGTCTCTCCTGAAATTGATTCTCCATTGTTCCCCTGTATGACACCCTGCTACTCTACATTCTGCCATTCATTATTCATTTTAATACTACAAAATAGAGCAGATGCAAGATGCATGTTTTTCTCCTTGAATCAAAATCCAGGATCTGTATTTTACTTTTAATCACATCCATATTTCTGCAAGTACTAGCCCAAATGTTATGATGTCGTTAACTACAAAGCCCTGAACTTTATTTGCTTATCTGTCTTGGATCGTATTTTTGGGGAATCTCTGCTTAGGGTAGATTTAGTTATAATTTTTGGTTAAGCTTGTATAAATAGGAAATCAGCTAGATGGCTCATTTTCTGTATTGCATTGAGTGCCAATAATATGAAATGATGAAATTTTGTCACCTGTTATTCGATTTTGATATGATTGTCATTGGTATAATTGCATCTGGAGTTGTATATGCATATCCTGGAATAGCTGAAGACCTTGAATTATAGCAGGGTGTCTCCTCACAAGATGAAAGAGCCGAAGACCCTGCTTCAGAAAGCACCATTGCTCCCTCGGGCGCTCTTGTTGTTTCCACATGCAATGAAGCTGGCAATACTGTAGGAGAAACAGCATGCACTGAGCTTGTTAATGCAGTAGAAGAACCAACATACGAAGAGCTTTGCAGCAACAAACAAGACATTGGTAGTACTGGTGAGTAACTTATCATGTTCTAATTCCGCTTCTTGATCAATGTAAATTTAGCTGCCATGCAGTGGAAATCAGTTAAACAAAGTAGAAAAACATTCGGTCCAGCCGATGCATGAGTAACTTGCATCCATATCAGATAGACGAATTTAGTATACCAACAGACTAAGGAAGATACAAATATTGCATTCTTTTCTAGCGTAGCTGCTGCGTTTCATTCTCTGCCATAGTTTCCCCCGTGCTGGGGACTTGGAATGTAAGAATACTGCTTTTTATTTGTGAAACAGTAAAGTAGTGCCCATATGATTTTGAGGCCATTACTAAAATTTCCCTAACAACTCCATATTGCAGAAATATTTTGTCCCCCTTCAGCTGAAAGAGATGGAAATAGGTGGACAGACATAGGGGAGGATCAAACCTTAACACAGAAAGGATCGGCTAACGCTGTTTTCAGCAATGGTGAAAATCCCCGGATTAACTCTCATGTTACTTCTCCACCTCCAACTACTTCCGCATGCCCAGTTAATCGTCTCAAAATGAGTTCTTGGAGTCAAGTGCAATCACAGAGTACCTCTCCTGTTTCTACTCCACCTCCAGCTTCTTCCTCAAGCCCAGTTAATTGTCTCAAAATGACTTCTGTGAGCCAAGTGAAATCATGGAGTAACTCTCGTGTTTCTGCTCCACCTCCAACTTCTCCCTCAAGCCCAATTAGTAGTCTCCCTGCTGATCATCACACTACAACTCTTCCTTCCTCAAAGCCAGTTAGTGCTCCACCAAGAAAGCGCGTTCCTTGTTATGGCTGGATTGGAAGTGATGATGAAGAGGATGCTGACGACTTCATACAATTACCACCAATGAAACCAACTACACCACTGCAGTCACAAAATTCAAGTGGTGGTACCAATAAGCAAATGAAACGCAAATCAAGGTGGGATATTTGACCCAATGATCCTTAGTATTCTCTCTCTTTCATGATATCAGTGTATGGACATAACTTGTATTGGCATAGAAGACTGTTTTGTTAGTCAATGCTCAAGGTTTGCAATACTTTCTGCTGGATTCTTAAGTTACAACCAATACACCATCAAACGTATTTTGGTCTGTGTGGACTGCAAGTGCTTGGATCCCCATATATTGTGGTAAACCCCAGTTTTACGCCACCCATGGAATTTGTCCACTTTTTAAAAAAAGTTTAACTGACTTCAAATACATACAGTACATTTTTCTATTCTTCGTCGTTGTTGCCTTCTTCTTCTTTGTGCTTAGGGTTTCTTCTTCTTCTTAGTGGCAAAATGAGTTTGTTAAATTTGTTGTTGTTTTGACAATTTGATGATTATGGTTTGTTCTTAATTATATTTGAAAGTCATTTGGAGTAGATTTGGACTCTGAATCGTGTGTTGGATTGTTGAAATTGGAAGAACAAGTTTATGCTTCAAAACTTATGATTCGAAATCTGAAGTTGCATTGAAGAGAATGAACTACTTAAGATTCGAAATTGTGAAGTTGGATTTGAAAAGATAGAACTCCAGATTTGATGTCTAAAGTTACATTGAACATATTGAACTACTTAAGATTCAAATTTCTAAGTTGCATTTGAAAGATAGAAGAATTTCAGATCTAGATCTTGAAATTGCATAGAAGAGATAGAACTACTTTAAATCCGAGCGAGTATACTTTGCAAAATTTTGTGCAATTTTTATTAACTTCAATTTTTGCAAAAATGTTATTCCAATTTTTATACTTAATTTCTGCTTACCATCAATTACAATTCCTTCTTTCATTTGAAACGCATTCGTCAGAAATTGTGTCTCAACTCCAAGCATAGGCACCCTTGGGCCTTGGGACCTCGCTAATTTCAGTTGGAACATACCAAAACAAAGACTTCAGATTCGAGGGACAAGCTTGCTCATGTTTTTAATGAGTGGAGAAGTCATAAGCTGCAAAATTCTCCCAAATATTTGATGTCATAATCAACCAACCAAAATGGACTGTAGGAACTTTAATCAGATGCATTACTGTTTAATGCTTTGGATTTAGCCTAGTATCTGCCATACTCTATTTAAGTCTCTTTTGGACCAAAAGTGAATCGAAGGACAAAATTTAACAATTTCAAATAATACAATATCAAATTTGGACCTTTTCCCAAAAAGGAGAAAATGATTACCAGAAGAACATGCCAAAAAAATATAATAATAGATATAATGAAGTTTACAAGCCCCTGGAGGCACATCTTGTTCAGATCTTACGTAATTCTAGACTTGTAGCACAGCATGGATTTAAACCCCAATTACTTTCATAATGCATTTTGGTATAAGATTATCCCATAGCAACCTACTCGACTAAGACAACCATAAATTATATATTTACATGTTTAGCAATGCAAGTTTGCATTTCAAAGCCACCTTCAGCATTATCTCCAACTACCGTCATTGGAACTATAAACAAAGATGTATTAGTTTAATAGACCATCTAAGAAGGAGACCCTCACTGTATACCTTTTTCCTTTCTCCACGAGCAGAGATATCATTATCGGATGAATGAGGATGATGATTATGATCCAGGAGACCACCAAATACCACATTGCTTACTCCTCATAATGATGTTGAAACAAATTTAGGTTGATCAGAATCTTAGATATACCCTACCCTGCTCTGCTAACATCATAGCAAATGGATTTTGCTGCGAAGCTTCCATAATTTATGATAAATACTCAATCATTATCACTAGTTAATGTGTTTTCACAGAGGGTAATGATACAAGATCCTTCTCATCTTCATCACTGTCGTCGCTAATCCATCCGTAACATGGCTTGCGAATTTGGTTACTTGGGACAGTATTTCTCACCGGAGTGGAATGTAATGGAGCAGTGTCCTGTAAAATAGACTAAAAAAAATCTTCAATTGGCCAAGATTATAACAGCAATTACAGGATAGGGAATCAACGAAAAAACCGGCACTAATAAGATATTTAGTTCAAATATTGTGTTTCTTTCCAAATAGACCTTGTTGCAACATGCTAAACAAGCTGAACTTGAGGAAGAACAGCTGTGATGCAATAAAAGTTTGCATATTGTACTTTTCTGTTTTTTGCTTACTAATATACAGATGAAGCTAAGAAATGGTAAATGCTGCCTAAGGGCTTTCTATGTTATTCCTTGCTGTTTCACTCTACTTTTGACAGTTTCAGGTTATTGCCATTTGATGCTATTCCTTCTCTGAATACTTTGGTTCTCCAAATTGACCCTAGAAGGTCTGGTAAAGGAGCCTCAAAAGATGACTTCTCGCAAGCTCATGACATAGTTCCCCTTTGTTAATCATTTTACTTAACTCCTTTCTGTTGTTCTAATTTTTGACATTAAATTGCGAGATTCTTCAGTTCAACCATGAGCAGTATGGTTCATGTCTACAATTACTTCAAACGGTGAACCTATCTGCATTGGATAAAGTTCTTCCAAATGTACACTGAAAGGTATAATAATAATACCAAAATGGATTACCATAATGGCCCTATAGTAGTTCTCTAAGTTCAAGAATCACCAAGAATGTTTTGCTCTCTTTCTGAATTTACTCCCGTAGCTGTTAATTTCTGGTAGGAGCATTATACAGTTTCCCCTGATTTCATCCAATATAATATTAACAAAACCACTTCAAGAAGAAGGCAGCAATGAGTCAATTTCATCATAATCTCTGCCTCCTGCAGCAGAGGTGGATCACTTTATGGGTTTGAGCTAGGTATTCTAACACAACTCGTTTAATATATCGGGTTTGAAATCAATTATTTGTACTTAATTTACTGAATTTTGTAACACATATACAGAAACGGAGTCAAAGCTATTGGGGTAAGATGAACCCATAAGTTGAACTCTACATCCGCCTTGTTCTGCAACATACCCCTAATTTAGAGTACACTGAGGGTATTTACATTGATAGTTGATTGACTTTGCGTATAAAACTTTTATCATTATTCGTGATGCATATTGACCAATGAATCTAAGTGGGATTACCTCAAATAGCAGAACGTTTCCAATTATATGTTTTTCATGTTCATCAAGTTTCACAGGAGTGCCATCTACTTGATCATGCTCTTCGCACACTTCTTTATCACAAGGTTCTGCAAGATTCTCACTTTTTCCCTGAAAATTAGGACTTGTATTGCCACTGCCAATTTCCGCTAACTGATTTTGGGGCTCATAAACAGCACCAATTTCTGCTAACTGATTTTGGGGGTCATGATCGTGATTAGACTCAGATTCTCCTTGTGTGTCAAGTATAGTCTCAATCAGAAGCTTGTATGCAGCCTCCTCAATAAATATCCACCCTTCATCTCCATAAACCTACAAAAAACAAGTTGCAAAATTCAATAAATTTTTTTTTTTTTGGAGAAATGCGTTAGGAGAAAAAACGAAACCTTGAGGAGGTCTTTAATGGATTTTTGGACAATGTGACGAGAAAACCCTAAGCGAGCCAATGCATCTAGTGATGCATCCATTCGTCGGAGTCCCAACTGCATTTATAACAAACAAACAAATGTTCATTAAAATCATCTTCAAATAGCTTAAGAATCTGTTCCATTTACCTTTGGGCGTTTGCCTCTGGGAGGCATGATTAATGGATCCCAAAAAAGGAGACGTCAAACAGTGCTTGAGAAACTTGGAGAAGAGGAAAAGGGCGTCTGTGGAGTTAGAGGCTGACAAATGATTTGAAGCGATGGAGCACAGCTCTTCACTCTTGTTTAACACTTTTTCAAGCATACAAGCTTAGTAATGGTGTTCAACCAAATAGAGGGTGGGTTTGGTACCAAGCGGAAATAATCCGTCATTGCACTGGGTGTGTTTTCCTCCTTTAACTCATTAACATTTTCCAAAACTCTTTTTAAAATTTTTCCACCCTATTTGTAGAAAGAGTACTTTTTTTTCTAAACCAAAAAAATAGTATTTTCTTTTTAGTTATAGAACATAAATTTCAATATTATATCTGCATAAAAAAATAATATAGCACATTAGTTCCTTTGGATTTATCTTAAATTTTAGAAGAATAATTAAATTCTTCTAAGTCCTAAAAACATTGGGTATTTGAGGGAGGGCGGGGGGAGGAGAGGGAAGGAGAGCACAAGAAATATGGGGACTTGGGATAAGAAGGTGAAAAGAGTAGCGTAAATACTCTCTAACCAAACACTAAAAAATATTTTCCGGAAAAAATATTTTTCATTTACCAACTAAACAAGGAAAAATAAGTTATAAAACAACTCATTTTTCATGAAAAATATTTTCTTTCGTACCAAACACCCCCAGAACGTCATAGCAAGATGCCCTAAATATTACCATATATTTTGGTTTCATTGTATTAAATGTTAAAAATGGATATTTGATTTTTGGTTTTCTATTAAAACAAAAAACGTGGCAAACTGTCAAACTGATTATATACATACCATTATACTTTAAAATTAAGTTTTTCCATAATTTTTTTTCTTTTATCCACTTTCTGTAATGGTAGTTGTAGGCATGCAAAATTTATTGGATTTAGATTCAATAAAATAATTTGGACTATATTTTAAATTCAAGATATATTGGTCCAAATAAATAATATGGGCTAATATAATTGAATTAATTATATAAGTCCAATACATATGGATTAAATGAGTAAGTCTTAATCCATTGGGCTAGCCCATTTAATTGAGCTAAAATGATGAGCTCACTTCATTAAGCCCCAGATGTCATCTTCCTAAATGCCCAGTTTGGTGTCATGTGTCAAATAACGAGGCACGCCAAGTCAAATAGAAGAGCCAATGGAATCATGCCATGTGCTAAAATGACAAGACATGCCAAGTCCAATGAAATCGCACCACATGTGCAAGTGACATGTTCTGGCCAATCAAATGCGGCCTTGTCATTCTTCAATTTGATTGGTCGGAAAGAGTTTATTCTCATTACAACTCTTTCCTCCCACAACTATAAATAGGGGTCTTCATAACTCAGCAAAAATACCAGAAGTTATAACAAGAAGTAAGAGAGAGCTCGTAGATCAAACGCCGCAAATTTCTCTACAAGTTTCAAGCTTCAAACAAGCAAGTTCAAGTTCAAGAAATAAAGGGAGGCTACTATTGAACTTTAGATCCCATTTGATTTAAAGCCTCTATGGTAAATTGGTATTTTTAATGGACGATTATAGTCTTTTAGGAGGTTACTAAGTATTTACATTGAAGCACGGAGATTCACTATATCTTCATGTT